TCTTCTTTTTCAGTAAACCTTTCTTTCTAGGTCTTTCTCTCCCTGGATTGGGCCCATACATGTTGTAAATGGTAGTTCTCCAAGTGCCAGAAGAAGCGGCTCACCCCGTGGACATGCTGACCCAGATTCAGGTGGGGTTTCAGAAGTGCTGGAGCCCCTGCCCATAGGAGCTGAAGAGGACATTCAAACAGGAAGGGGCAGGGGCTGTGTGGTAATCCTTTCTTCTGTCCTCCCCATGCCCCAATTCCAGAGCAGATGCACATGCCGCTGGGGCAGTTTGAAGGTTAGGGGCTCAGTCATTCAGAGACCATTCCGAGTTGGCACAACAGGAACAAAGGAGACAAGCCAACTCAGGAGTCTCGGTTGCCCAGGACCACAGGCCCTCCAGTGACGCCTGCACCATCGTAGTATGAGTAGGCTAGGAACGATGCCAGTACACAGGAAGGTTCTCTAGCTTAACCCTCACCCTGCCATCCGTGGCCAACAGCTGCAGCTAGCCAAAGAGCCCCAAAGCAGAGCCCAGGCAGAGCCAGTTCTCTAGGGCTGACCTGGACAGATGAAGGTCAACGGGATGGAGCAACCAGGAATTGGAGTGGGTGATCGTGTGCCCTAGGCATGCTGGTGAGACCACTGCTCTCCATCATGACACAAATGAGAGACACGCCAGGCAAGCAGGCTTCCATCATAGGCATCTATTTCTTTGGAATCCAAAGACTCATTCAACTTGGGAGTCGAGAGAGGGGCTGTGGGTGGGTAGAACACAGTCTGCTCCCCAGAGGCTTACAAAGCCCCCACAGTTTGGAGAGCTCAATCAGGATCTGTTTACAGGCGAAAAGCTCTGTGAGGAAATATGGACTCTGGCCCCTCCTGTCGAACTCATAACCCCCACCATTCCTACCCACCAGCCTGAGCCAGCAGGAATGCGCGCGCGCGCATGTGCGCGCGCGCACACGCGCACACACACACGTCAGTCTCCTCTCCTCTCCTCCCCTCCCCTCCCCTCCCCTGCTCTTCACATTTTCTGCCTTTCTCCCTTCTATTCCCCCAACAAGAGAAGTTGGCAAGGCAGCCCTGGGAAGAAAGGGCTCCTCTCTGCAGACCATCGGAAGTAGGGGCCGGGCCCCAAGTTGACCAGAAATAATTGGCGCCAAGCACAGGGCTGAAGCGGCATGGGCCTCCGGTACAATTGGAAGGGGCACACAGTGTCCTGTCCCCTCCCTCTACCCCTGGCTGGAGCGACTCTTGAGGATCCCCAAATGACCACGGGGAGCCGGTTTGTGTAGCCTGGTGAGTGTAATGCATCCGGATTGGAGGGGTTGCCCCAAGAGGCTGACTGCACTGCTGGGGGGGTGGGGGGAGATCCTCTCCCCTCTGCCCCACGGGCCATTGTCAGTATTGAGCACGCCAGAGACCCAGACTGGGTGCGGGGTGTGGGGCCTAGACAAGCCGATCCTCAGGCTTCCCCAAGATGGCTAGGGTCCTGGCCGTGGAGGCTGTGGTTGATGTCTTCCCACAGGTCGTCGAGGCGGGTCTGCAGCTTGCCCAGGGCCTTGCCTCGGTCCGCTTGGAGGAACTCCGGCGCGAAGGCGCTATGGCTGGGCGGGGGCGGCGCCAGCTGCTGCTGCATCTCCTCCGTCTCGCGGTCGATGGCCCGGGTGAAGGCGGCGATCTGCAGGAACGTGTCATGGCGGAACGCCTGCAGCCGCTGCCGGACCTCCTCGGAGAGTGCCTGGGGGTCGGGGGCGGCGCCCTCCTCGGCCCCCTCGGCGCCTGCGCGGACGTAGGCACTGAGCTCGTCGCGCAGCTGGTCCAGGTTCTGCTGGATGCGCGCGTGCAGCGTCTTGGCCTGGCGCGTGAGCTTGCGCGAGAGGCCCTGCACGCAGCGGCTCAGGCGCGCGGGGCTGACGGGCGCGTGGGGCGCCACGCTGCGGTGCAGCTCCTGCACGTGGTGCCCGATGCCCGCCACCAGGCGCTGGGCGTAAGGGTGGAAGAGCTCCTTCACCCGGCCCGTGGTGTGCGCCACGCGGCTCTGCAGATCCTGCAGCAGGCCCCGCGCCTCGTGCACGCCCCCCAGCACCTGCGTCTTGGTGCCCTCCCCCACCAGGCGCAACTGCTCTTGCAGCTCCTGCGTGCGCAGGGCCACCTGGTCCAGCAGCTCCGACGTGTAGGGCGTCAGCTGCTGCCGTAGCCCGGCCAGATTCCAGCCCACGTGCTCATGCACCTCGGCCATGTAGGGCTCCAGGCGGTCTCGCACTACGGCCAGCTCGGCCTGCAGCTGCTGCCGCATGGCCTCAGGGTCCTCTGGGAGGCCTGGAGGCTCCCGCCCCTGCCCGCTCAAGGGGCCCAGCTTCTCCAGCAGCTTGTCCATGTTGCTGAGGTCGCCCTCAAGGCCATCTTTCAGACTCCTAGGGCAGGGGACACACATCCAGATCATTAGATGACTAGCCTCCAAGACCAGTACCATGTCCTTTGCCTCGGAGACACTGCACACGTATCCCCTGGAGGCCACCAAGGCTCTAAGGCTGCAGACTGAGAACGCGGGGCTCCTGTTCCTAAGCCCAGGCTAGCCTGGGCGCCCCGCCTCACAGAGGCCCTGCAGAAAGGACCTCTCACCTGCTAATCCACATCAACCCAAGAAAGCACCATCGAGGCACCCCCACTCTCACACAACCTCTGTTCTGAAGCCACAGAGGCGCCTTTTGCCTGACCCTAGTGTGGGGTAAGGCAGTGGCAGTCCTTGGGGGGTACAGAGCGCTGCAGATCCCAGGCTGGCCAGGATCAGTGAGCACGCCAGGCGGCACTCAGCCAGGCCTTGGCCAGCGACGGCTACAGCGATAGAGGAACGGGAGGCAACACATCATGTCTCGGCCCCCTTTGCCCACAGCCCTTGCCCTCCTTGCCACTCACGAGGGCACCCTTGCCAACTTCTGCTGCTGGATCTGCTCCCTCTTGCCTTTGTCCCTGCTGCTCTGGCTGAAGTAGTCCCAGAAACCTTTCTGCGCCTGTGTGGCAGAAGACACTGTAGAAAGACGGGGCGATTAAGGGCCAAGTTCTCCCGCTCGGGCATACAGCCCCTCTGTCCAGCCTGCACCCCCACCAGAGGCCCGGTTTGGGGACCCACCTGAGAAGAGGGTCAGCACCCCGATCAGAACTGTAGCCCTGCTCGCCATGGTCCGCTCTGCAAAGAAGGAGGCCTGGTTGAGGCGGGGCACAGAAGGAGACGTGTCTGTCATGGTGCATGGTCTCCCTCAGAACCCTGCCAACCCTTCCTTGGGGCCCGAGAAGGAAGGGGTGTCTTGCTAGGAGGTGGGGGTGGGAGGACCTCCCCCAGCCTCATGATGTGTGTGAATGGGGAGCTTCAAAACTGCTTTATAAAAGTCCTCCCCCACCACCCTGCACAAGGCCCAGGAAAGCCCCCGAGACACCCCCCCCCATTCCTCTCCCTCATAGTCCAAACTGCCCTTGAACGGTTGGGGAAACTGAGGCATACCAAGAGGGGGGAAAGGCAATGCTGCCAACGAGGTCCAAGAAGATGTCCTTGCGTCTTCGTTCCACGTCCAGCACTCGGCTGAGCACTCTATGCCCTCCCTCCTGCCCAGCTACTCCCTGGCTCTTGTCTGGGTGCCGAGAGGCACACATTCCGCTTTATACTCCAGGGCCTGGAGCCTGGCAGCAACTCTCTGAGTAAACACCACGTGGGGGTTCAAAGAAGATGACCTCGGTTGCCCTCTGGTGCTCACCTGCTGCCCTTTCCTGGCACCCAGAGGGTTAACAAGTGTTCTGGTGTCAGGGGGGCTGCCCCAGTAGAGATGGACTTCTGAGAAAGTTTTACTGGGAGTGGAATTTCCCTCCAGACCCCATGCCCTTCAACCTTTCCACTGGCCTGTTGGCTGGTCCACCACATTGAGACAAGCCTGTTTGTCCCCTGAGGGCCCATCTTACTCAACTGTCCTGAATCATTGCTCCCAAGACAGTCATGGGTAGTGCCCAACTGCCGGCCAGAACCTGGGCAGCCTGTGACTGAGGGCTGGATGAGCCAGCACTGCTGCGGTTTGGATCCTCCCCCAACCTGCTGTGTGAAATGCTTCTGGGCCCTGCAAGGGGAGGGAGGGGAGGCGGAGAGGAGGGGGTGAGAGGCTTCTGAGCCCCGGGAAGTGGAGCAGGAGTAGGGTGCTTGCCTCAGTGAAAGTTGAACTTCCCTGAGGAGGTCTCTAATAAGGGGAAGTAAAAATGCCCCGCTCTTTCTCAGATGACATGCCCACTTCATACACGTATGCACATAACATTCGGAGCTTCGGAGTCTCGCTCCTCGGTGTTTCCTGGTTCAGTCCTCCCCTACGTTTCCATCGCCCTCACAGACCTCGTTGTTTCTCCGCTTGATGGCATCCATGGTCACTTCCCCTGGTCCTCTCTGCACAGGCCTGGTCATCCAATCCTTTATCTGCTGTAGCTCATCCTAACCCAATTCCCGTCTCGTCTCCTGAAAATAAAAAGTCCTGACATTGCAGGAACTCACTGCCTCTTTCCCGCTCCTGGCTCCTTTTTGTATGCCATGGCCTCTACTTGAACGATCCATTGATCCCCTAGAGCAGTGCTTCTCCACCTTCCTCATGCCGCGGCTCTTTCATACAGCGCCTCGTGTTGTGGTGACCACCCAACCTTAAAATTATTTTCGTTGCTACTTCATCACTGTCATGTTGCTACTGTTATGAATCAGGCGACCCCTGTGAAAGGGTTGTTCGACCCCCAAAGGAGTCTTGACCCACCGGTTGAGAACCGCTGCTCTAGATGAACGTGTGAGGAGCCCTGGTGGCATAGTGGTTCCTTGTCAGGCTGTTAACTGCACAGTCAGCAGTTCGAAACCACCAGCTTCTTTGAGGAGACCGAGCTTTCTACTCCCAGAAAGGAGTGCAATCTCAGAACTCACAGGGGCAGTTCCTCCCAGTCCTGGAGGGTCGCTGAGGGTCAGCGTTGACTCGATGGCAGTGACTTTGAGTTTCATGAGTGTCATTTGAATCAGACATGTTTTATATTTGCTAGAATTCAGTTCAGCTCCAAGTGACCAAAAAAGCAAAGAGAAAGAAAGAAGGCAGAATGTAATTTAAGCAAAACAAAACCTTATTTTCTCTCCTGTGTTGTTTAGTGCCATCGAGTCAATTCCAACCTAGAGCGAGCCACTGGGTGCGCACAACAGAAGGAAACGCGGCCCAGCCCTGCGCGTGACCACAATTGTCCCTGCGCCTGAGCCCATTGTTGCCGCTACTGTGTCAGCCCAGCTCATTGAGGGCCTCCTCCTTTTCCGCTGCCCTGCCACGTGACCTAAGCATGATGTCCCTACTCAGGCACCGGTCTCTCCTGAAAACATGTCCAAAGTCTGGCTATCCTTGCCTCTAAGGGACACTCTCTGGCGTACTTCTTGCAAGACAGATCGGTTTGTCGTTTTTTGCAGTCCACAATACTTTCAATATTCTTCTCCCGCACACAATTCAAACTCCTGGATTCTTCTTTAGCCTTCCTTATTCCGTGTCTAACGTTCACATGCATTTGAGATGATTGAAAATACGCTGCCTTGGTTGAGGCACACTAGAATCCTCCAAGTAACATCTACACTTTTCAACACTCTAAAGAGGTCTTCTTACAGCAGATTTACCCAATGCAACACATCTTTGGATCTCTTGCCTGCTGCGTTCACGAACATTGATTGTGGATCCAAGCAAGACATAATCCTCATAATCCTTGACAACATCTATCTTTTCTCAATTTATTATGCTATTACCTACTACTGATCCAGTCCACACGGAAGGCTGCAATCCTTGATCTTCCTCAGCAAATGCTTCTAATCCTCACTTCAGCAAGCAAGTTATCTGCATATCAAACGTTGCTAATAAACCTTCCTCCACTCCTGATGCCACATTCTTCATAGAATCCAGCTTCTCTGATTATGTGCTCAGCACACAGATTAAATAAGCATGGTGAGAGAAGATACAACCCTGCCACACACCTTTCCTGATTTTAAACCATGCAGTATGTCCTTGTTCTCTTTACACCGCTGTTTCTTGATGCACGTACAGGTTCTGCATGAGCACAATGAAGTGTTCTGGGATTCCCTTTTTCTCAAGGCCATCCATTGCTTGTTATGATCCATACAGTCGAATGGCTTGGCCAAGTTGGTAAAACATAAGTAAACATCTTTCTGGTATTTTCTGCTTTCAGCGAAGATCCATCTGTTATCAGCAATGATACACCTTTTTCCACGTCCTCTTCTGAATCCAACCTGAACCTCTGTCAGTGTCCTGCTGCAACGATTGTTGGATGGTCGTCAGCAAATGTGACTTGATGTGATATCAGTGACAGCGTTCTGTTGTTCTCTCCTGGAACCGTCGCTTCTGTCTTGTGCTCTCAGCCTCAACAAGTCACTGATGTCTCTAGCTGTTTGAGTTCCTGACCGCCACTGCGATCCACACAGTCCATGGGCACTGATTGTGGAGCCGAGTAAAATCCAATTCATAACTTTACTCAAAACTTTACTCTTTAAAAAAATAATTTTACCCCTCAATAAAGAAACAAGTTTACAACAACAACAAAATCATTTTATTGGGGGGCTCTTATAGCTCTTAGAACAATCCACTGTGCCAAGCACACTTGTACATATGTTGTCATCATCTTTTCCAAAACATTTTCTTTCTACTTGAACCCTTGGTATCAGCTCCTCATTAAGAAAAAAAATCATTTTATTGGGGGTTCAGACAACTCTTATCACAATCTACACATCCATCCATCGTGTCGAGCACATTTGTACATTTGTTGCCATCATCATTCTCAAAACATTTTCTTTCTACTTGAGCCTTTGGTATCAGCTCCTCGTTTTTTCCCTGTGTCCCCCACCCTCCTACCCTCATGAGCCTTTGATAAATTATAAGTTGTTATTATTTTCACATCTTACACCGTGTTGCACATGTCTCCTTTCACCCATGTTTCTGGGTGGGGAGGGTTATACATCGATCATTGCCATCGGTTCCCTCTTTCCCCCACCCTCATGGCATCGCTACTCCCATTAGACAACTTTACTCCGTGCTCGGTCTGAGTGATGTTCTCATTGGTAGAGCTGTGAGGACTTCTGTGGTCTTCCTACTACAGTGTAATCCCTGTAAGGCTGTAGCCTTTGGTCTGCATCAGTAAGTATGTCAGGTCTTCTTGACATCCAAAGCAGGGGGTGTCATCTGCATACCAAAGGCTGTTGATGAGTCTGTCTCTAATTCTGGTGCCATCGTCTTCATTGAGTGTAGTTTCTCAGCTTATATGCGCAGCATACCGGTGACATATGTAGGGGAAAGATGCCACCTTGCCCCACGCCTCCCCTGATTTGGAACTGCTGAGTCTCCCCTTTGTAGTATTAAATTTTTAAAAAATAATGACGCTGAGGGAGGGTGAGGGACCAGCCCCAGCGCTAATACTCCTATTGCTACTACTCAGATTCAGTAATACTACTTCTGGGTTCAGTAATGCACAATTGCATGGTTGAGATATATAAGCATTATATTAAAGTCATCGAGAGCATGAGAGATAATACAATAATACAGTCAGGCATGTTACATAGTACCATTG